CAAAACCCCAAAACCCCAAAACCCCATGAGTTGTTGAATTAAGTAACTTAGTAATTTTAAAATTATAGAGGTTCATTAAGAAATAAATTGATTAATTCATAGGAATTTTGAAGATTCGTAGTTCTATCTCTGTGAGGTAAATTTTTAAGGAATACTCCTGGCAAGGTCTCCAACACCTTTGTTTAGAGCTCCGCTGAACCCACCATACATAGTGCCTGTTCTTGACATCACACTGTGAGGAGTAGGTGGAATCGAACTGCCATTCATCCCTTTATTTACGTTTAGCTTTCTCATAATCTATTCTCTCTTTTCAAACGGTAAGTCATTGGTTGTTGCTGCTATCTTAAGCTAAGTTCGCCCAAACTGTTCTCTCTAAAAGCTCAGCATCTTGTTGTCCAGATTGGATTTGAATTCATCAAAGTTAAGTAGCTCGGGCTATCCATTAATATTTAAATTGTCTATAATCTGGTGATGCAAGTGATGGTCATTGCTGTTTACGCTGATCTTTATTTAATTCTAAGAGCCCTAGATATGATCGAATTTGGACACTTGGCCATTGTTATCAAATAATCTCAGAGTACCTGGAGCTGACTCAATGTTAACCTTCCTATTATTCATATTACTCATGGTAGTAGGTCTTTATCTGTGTTTCTTAGTCACCTTCTTTAGCATCGAGAAGTTCACATCTACTTTCTTTAGCCAGTCACTTTATAGACTCTACTGATTAATAGTGTCTTCTTTAATTGACTTTAATTTAAATTCTATGTTCTCAGCGGCTGATGCTAAATCAGCTAATTTATTTAACGAAATTGAAGATTTTGTTAGGAATATCTTTTCACTCTGATTTTTCTATAGATATCCAGTATGTCCTAGATGATACTTAATGCCCATCATCTCTGATTCCTTCTTGGTCAAGAATATCTTGTCAGTTTTGATATCTTTCATTATCCTAGGTAGTACTATTTGCTCCTCTTCATCTATGATCCCCTCTATATGTGATGGGTTATTTCTTATATTTAGCATATAATTTGCAGGTGAAAGTAAGCCTGTCTTTTCTAGCCTATTGAATGTATTTACATCTAAAGACTATTTTCTAGAGCCACCAGTATTCCCATCCCTCTGCCTAATAGACCTTTCATCTTGATTCCTAACAATCAATGTTTGTTCTTTTACAGCTTATTGATACTTGAGGTTTCTATTTTTAATTACTTGATGCGAATCATGAGCATTCATCACAATATATTTCTATTTTTTCTTCTTAATCTCCTTGTTTGGTAAGTACTATTAAATCATTTATATAAGGCTTATTCTTACCTTTAGATCTAAAGAATCATCTTCAATCTCCTCATAAGAAGAATCATTCTGTTTATTGTTATTCATGAGATTCCTCTCCTCTCTCAAATAGTGTTTTCTTCTGTGGAACTCAATTTTTGTTAGGGAAAGGAAGCAGTTTTTGCAGATTTTCACTTGCTCATACAAACTTGCAGCTCTTAAATGCTGGTATCTATCAAGACCCATTAGTGAACTCATTGTCAAATCTATTAGAGTTTAATTTTATGATTGAAAATTACAAGCTCTTTAGTATAATAATAATGGATCCTCAAATTCGTTAATATTTACTAAACCATCTAAGGTATTAATGTCAAATTCTTTAGGCCTCTAATATTTGCTGCCTTATCCTGCTTGATCATCTTTGATACGGTCAATTGACTTAAGATAATTATATCTTTCATGCTTTTCTAATAGTATACTTTTCAATGGCAATATAAAGCAATTAGGCTTGTGAGTTGTTGAAGTTTTTTAATTCTATATTTCTTGCTCTGCAAAATTTATCCAACCAAGAAAGACATCTCGATCTCTATTAAATTGCAATAGATCGTCATCATCATCAATCAAAGTTTTCACGTCGATTGCGTAATGACAAAACGTTTTGCATGCACACTTTCTCTATAGGAAATCAAAATATAAAATCTAAAAATACTCCTCTTTCAAATAGTCTCTGCTTGACTTTCTATCTCTCAGTGGCATTTTAGGGCTTCATCTCATAATTATAGTTGTAGGCATCTATAAGCCACATCTAAAGATTTATATAATATATAGCTTACATTGCCAAGGTCATCAATCATAACATCGATTGAAAGTTGATAAATGGTAACTGAAGTCAATAACTCTACGATTTATATAAATCTCTGAATAATTTCTTTCCATTATTGATTGAATGTGCTCTAGACACCACTTTCTCTGCCCTTAAATGTAAGCAAAGTTCCCTTGCTGGTGAATATGTTTGTTTTAGCTAGATCATTTTTCTTCTCAGGCTATCTTTGAGAAGACTGGGATATCTAAGTCGACCTCTTATTGCCACTGTTGACACTGTAAAATTTATTCCCAGATTAGTGTTTAGGTGAATCAGTCATGAATTCTCCGTTATCTATATTAAAATAAGGTAAGTTTAATTGAAGTACCATTTCTTGTTCCTTTATTCGAATAAGCTCCAGCAGCATTATTCAACATATCTGAGTTAGAATTATCCTCATCCTGCTCACTATTCCTTCTTCCAAATTAGATATTTCTCTTCAGAGCATGCACTGTAGTCTTGGACTCGCTCTGTCTTTCATAAGTAACCTTGAAAATTCCTCCACATTGCTTGAAAGGTAGGTATGTGAAAGCAGCCTCCCATTATGCTTTGAGATCTTATGAAACTGAAGTTGAAAATTGAGTTTTAACAAAGTTATCGTCTAGCACCAGATACTCCTTAGAATCTCCCTGAGATTAATCTTTTGCTTTTTGCCTTAGTATTATAACAGATTAATCATCAAACGCATTCTTTAGGAAGTAGTTCTTGACAGTTTCAAGGTTCAATAAATTATCGTCTCTTCTGTTTATTTTTTCATTCTAACTATTTATACAAATTCAGATTAATATACTTTCTATGAGTAGAACCATGAGTCTGGACTGCCATTCTTGAATATTATAATGTCAGGCACTTTCAGATTAACATTATAAACTACTGTCCAAGGTATACGTTACTAATAATTAAATTATTAAACAGAAAATACTGAAGCTAATGTTGAAAGAATATCCTTAAAAGTGTCTTCTTCTGCCATTACTGCCGAATATTTTAGAATAACTATTTCTATAATTCTATATTAACCCAATTATTTTCACATGGGGTTTTGGGGTTTTGGGGTTTTGGGGTTTTGGGG